CCTCAACCCATTGCATCTCTCAACTGAAACCCCAACACGACCTGTGCTCCAACTAAACCGAACACCTCCCCCCTCAATTCACCCTTCCTGAGCTGGGGTTTACCTGCACAGCGCCCGTCTTCCTCCCTCACTATACTCCTTTTCTCCGGTTTTACTCTGCAGTCCTTTATCCTTCCAGTCCAAATCTGGAATACAAAACAAAGGAAGAGGAAAGCAACTAACGCAGAGTCTGAGGAAACACGCTGAACCTCCATAAAGGCAAGAGAGCATAATATACTTGACAGTCTATGATGGAAGCGCAGCTCTGTCACCCCTTCATGGCCTCCCCTTCCGCCTCCCTTCAATTAGCGTCTCACCAGTGACAACATGGAGGATCTTCATTAGGGGAGAATGCTCAATTATATCAGTTGATATTCGTTTCCAAAACTAATTATCTCAGTTGCATGGCATGGCTGACTGAGCCTGCCCCTGCCCCAGGGCGCAGCGGTTACTGATGTGACTTGGCTTTGGTTGGGAGTTTTGCTCCACTCCATCCGTGCCTTTTCTATTTGCTCGAAAGTGGCTAAATACATCCTCTACATGTAATTCTCATTTTTCAGCAGGTTTAGTCTGGCAAAAACACACTGATTGGTAGGTAATCACTTGCCGCTTGTGTAGTCATTTTCATTCTTTCATTACTATGATTATTGACACACTAACATAAGTGCAAAAATACAAAAATACAAACTAACATAACTAAGAATAATACTAAACTAAAATTACAACTTAGTTATATCCATGTCTCCTAACCTAACTGAAATAAAATACAAATGAGCACAAATTGATTTTAGTTAGGTTTTTGATGCATGGTTTAAAAAAAAACTTGAAACTTTAAATACAGTGCATTAACTTGGGAGCCCTAAAGCCCTCAAGTTAAAATAAAAACCTATAAAAAATTGAAAATGAATGAAAAATGTAGTTGGTGAAAACCAACAAAAACTAAACTGTACTAAACTGTAAAAAAAATAATAATAATAACTATAATAACCATGATGAGCACAATAAAACATGTTTGTGACTACCAAACTAACTTAAATAAATAAATGAATAAATAATGACCACACATTTATTTTAGTTTCAAATACATGGTTTCCAAAAATTGTAACATTTAGAGCCATCAACTATTCGAGCTCTAAAAAAAATAAATAAATACATAAATATATATAAATAAATAAATGTAACCTGTGACATCTAAAACTAAACTGTTAAAAAATAATAATAATACAAAATTTTAAAAAAGAATAATCACAACTGTAATAACAGTTGAGCACAATGCTGAGCTATCCACTTGACTACAGCGGACAGTAGGACTATAATACTTAATTACAGTTAATTTACAGGATTTCTCTGCAGTACAACAGACTAAATCACATATAATCAGATGGAAGTGCTAAAGCAGAGTCAGTTAGGAATATTCATGCGCACATTTACCATCAACATTCATTGTGGCCCAGAGGGGGATGAGTAAAAAGAGCCTCTCATTTATGCTGAGGAGTATTCATATTTGTTATTTTAAGGCAAACAAGCTATTTTTCTTTACTTGTTTATTTATGATTTTCTAAGGGCTTTCTGAATATACAGATCTGATTAAATGATGCCTCTTAAATATAGTTGCAGAGGAAATAAAAGTTTAATCAGCCCTCTTATTAAATCTTTGTCATCTCACATGCGTCAGATGTACCAGCCTGCATAGAACACTAATCTGGAATAATTATCACGCAAGTAAATCCATATAATTAAGTCTTTCAGAGGCACTGGTCCAAATCTTCAGTCAAAATGTTCTAGACTGAAAAAACCTGCTCTGACAGGGAAGAAAGCAGTTAATTGTGGAAACCGAGTAGTCGCCTGCAGTGACAAATTATTAATCATAGGATAAAGTGTGAAACAACATGTGAGAAAAAACTCATTTAATTAGCTAGACTTCAATTTCACACTAAACGAATCTATAGATTTCACGTTAGATAAAAAAATAAATAAAAAATAAAAAACTGCACAGGGGTCTTAAACGAATTGTAACACAGAACTAGATTTTAAAAATGTGTCAAATTCAGTGAAATCACATCCCTAAAAACAGTACCCTTTGCAGTTGCCTTGTTTGTCAGGTGCAAAATTTCTTCTTAAATCAATTATAAATTAAATATGTTTCAGTCTCAAGTTTAAAGTTTATGACTTTGTGTCTCTTTTGCGTGCTTGCTCACTTGCTGGCCATATTAGCTCCACAGAACAAACTATTAGGTGCATTTCAAAGTAGCTGAGGCCAGACTGATTATGCATAACTCTCCAATTCCTACTCTCCCTCCCTTTCCCAAACCCTGTTTCTGAACTCACCCCCTCTGCCCCTCTTCTATCAAGCCTCTGTGCCCTCCTCCTTCCCTGGTTCCAAAGCCCTGGGTCCGCAGTCCGGAGGTAGATCACTTTAATTCTGCTTCATGGATCTTTTTCAAAAAGGACCTGAGACCCGGAGACCCCAGAACCAGTGACCGCGGGCTGAACCCAGACCAGCCAGCCGGGCTCCACGCACTCGTAAACACAGCCATCATCTCACATGCTCCCTTTTCCACCCCACACTTTTGCTCCCTCCCAATCAGGCACAGAGAGTATTTAATTCGGCCTACTAAAGTAAGTGCCCCCACTCAGTTTGTGGGATATATGAATATAACACTTGACCCATGCTGTTGTTCATTACCTATGTGGTCAATGCATGGAGGGAAGAGGAAAAGCTATCAAATAATGTCCCAAATTCTCTTTTTTCTGATGTCACATTCTCTTTTTTCTGACTTTCAACAGATTAGCTCAATGGGCTCTTTCTTCAAAACACGGAGTAGCCCTGAATATGGGTCAATGATGTACTGTACAAAAAGTGTAAACAATGCAGAAAGGAAAAATCTTATAAAAACAGATGTGGCAAAAATGTACTATTTGTATTCACATTGGCTTCTTATGGTTTTAAAGAGCTTTTATACAATTTACAATTAATTATACATTTTATTTCTCCAAAAATGTCATGTATTGTAAATGTAATAAAACAATAGACCTTAAATGGGTACAATTAATCATTATTACAAGTTTCCGAATACATTTTTCAAAATACAAAGTACTTTTTACAAATATCATGAATAGTTCATTCATAAGTATTTTTCAGAAGTCGCAGCACAACCTGAGCTAACCTTGCCTTGTCATAGAAAAGCCAAATTATGAGACATTTTAAATAACAAAAGTCCTGACATTTATTCAGAAATGCAAAACAAGTTTATTATTGAATATGTGTATTTAAGTCATTGTATGTGTGAATTGCATATTCTTAAGTACATGAATAGACAAAAATGAATGTTATGTCATTAAACCACAGACATGTTAGTTACACCTTGGGCCAAAACTTTGTACTCCCCAACGGAGGAAAACAAAATGATGCCCAAACCCACACGAGATGGAGGAATGAGGTTATTCATCATCTTTTTTAAATTCTAGTAGTCTGCAAAAAGCAATTACGAGAACCTAACATGATGTAGTTCATGTGTGGTCCAAAAAATAACGTGCAACGTGTACTGGCAAGACTTTCTAGGAGATCAAAACGGCCATCATCTGGTTTCCAGCATCCCAATAAATGACAAGTGGCTTAAGGCTTTCCATAGTGAAAATGGGATTTACAGTAATAGTGTCCCTAGGTGGAAACGGATTAGACTACTTTAGCAGCTACCTAGGGATGATCAAATGAGCAATTTCTTCCTGGATGGTCACCATAGCAATGACCTTTACGCATGCCACAGATGGCAAGCGGTAGCATATTTTAATAAAAAAATGTTAAAACATTTTTTTGGATATCGTTTTCCCTATAAGCTCAAAGGTACCTCTCTGGTGTACTACGATAAAATGTCAGTGCAAGCTTTGAAAATGTTAGTCAATAGACATCAGAACATCTGAAGAAGTTTTCATGGAGGAAAACTCCCATATTGCCATTTCAGGAGCCTTAAAAATGAGATCGCTGAATAACTGGAAGATGCACACTTGATTTTACCTCTCTAGCCTAGTGATCTGCAGCTTTACCCACAGCACTATTAGGTCTTATTGATAGTGAGAATGAAATCTCCAAATAAAGCTGATGAGGACTGACACAAGAAAAGCACCCAGTGGAACGGCCCTGGAGTATCACAGTTTGGGGTCATTCTTTATCCCCCTCTGGGGCAGCTCGTTCACACTATCACACCTGTCTGTCAAAAGAAAGACTCAGCAGAGGGATGAGAGAAGAGAGAAGGTTTATCCAATGCAAAAGTGAGAGAAATAAAAGAAAAGCACTGTCGCAACAGAAATCACAACAGACAGAAAGGGCAGGGTTTAAATTACAGCTTAAATAACCTCATGTCCTGCTTTGACTTATGACTAACAAAATTTTAAGGCTCAGAAATAAAACCTCCAAAAGAAAAATAGCCAACGCGAGTGAACTGACAATAAAAAAGGGCAACTAAGTGATAGATAGATAGATATATACTACTGTAATTAAAAATACACCGGCCTATAATAGGCTAAATAAATACAATGAACTAATTAATTAAAATTACAGAATGATTCTGAACGCTTCTTGCACATTTTGAAGGACAGCCCATATTTACTACGAAGAAATTGGACTATAATAGCCTAATAGTTAAGGCGATCATGGCTACTCTGGGATAAATATTTGAGAAGCAAGTTTTCTAAATGCATTTTGCTTGCTTAAAATTAATTTTTGGCCACTGTTAATTGATGGATCAACCAAACATAAGCAAGGATTAGCGTTAATCATAAATAAAGACGACATAAACTCTCAAATTTTTTGAATAAATAAGCACAACACGTCATGTTGACGCCGCCACACCAGTGACGATTAATAGCCTATTATAAACTTCAAGACGGTTGAAAGAGGTTATGTTTAAAAACTTAAGAAGTACAATGCGAGTACAAACAATCCGTCCGCTAGATGTGCCTACCTTGGCCAGGTCAGGTGTTCAGGGTGGGCTCTGGGCTTGAACTTGCCTGAGTTCCAACAGCGTTAACGGCTTGATTACTGTTGATTTGTTAATTTACAGCGGCACCTTGTGTTGAGTAGAGGTAAAGCAGTTGAGGACGTCGGTGGAAACACTTCATCCGTCAATCAATTCTTTGAAGAAACACTTCATTAAAAAATAAATGAATAAAAATCAGAAAATAAAAGACATATTTCACCTTCCTGATAGTAGGCCTATAATGATTAGATTAGATGTTCTCCAAAATAAGATCTGCAGACTGATAGAGATGTTCAATCATTTTTATCATGTCAGGTAACATTATACACGTGTATGTATGAATAACAAATACACCCATTTACACAAAATTACCCATTTGTCATGCTCGCTGTTTCCGGACTAAATTCTAAATGAATGAATGAATGAACCATTGAACCATAAGGAAAAATCAGTGTTTATTTACAATCAAGCACAAAAGCCAAACAAGCCAGAGAGTGTTATCTTCATATTAATTTCCATGTATAGAGAGACATGAAAATTAAACTACACATTCATTTACAACATATTTGAGGCTCATCTTAAAACATCTCTTTCTTAATTATACCAACCTTTTTGTTCATAACAACAAAATGGCTTTTAAATAGATAATTCACCAAAAAACATTCTGAATTCTGTCATTATTTACTCAGGTACACAATTGTAGTTATCTAGTAAAATGTTCCAGCTGTTCTTTTGCTTGCAGTACAATGAAAATAGTTGTTCAAACAAATATGGTAAAAAAAAAAAAAGGTTTATAAATATTTCTGTGCTTTGGAAAGACATGAGGGTGAGTAAATGGTGACAGGGTTTTCATTTTTAAGTGAACCATCCCTATAATAGAGTTCATTTAAATTAATTTGGCCTACATAATAAAAAGGCGTTTGGCTTTTTGAATTCCTAGAAAGTCTGAGCAATAAATACATTTCCTTTATGCAGAGTAGAAATGTGACAAAATCTGTATATGTGAAGTTCTGTATGTGTGTGTGCTTTATTAACCTAATACGCATTGCATGCACAATCCCATGGCAGTACACTTGCTGACATTTGCAGTGTGGTATATTATCAGTATGTATGTTAACAATCACAGAGTATACAGAGTTCCATAATGGTAATGGTCTTTAATAACCAGGTCAGTTTGTCTAGGGTAGCATTAGTTTGACAGCAGATGCCAGACGAATAACAGAAGGCCCAGGAGGAAGCTGAAGCCTGTGCTGATTCTGGTGGCGTGTCCTGCCACATTGCAGTCATCGGAGTAGCAGCAGTGAACTTTGACCCCTGGAGCTCTGTAGCCCTGGCTGTTAGCCTGGCTGCAGAAGGATTTGTACGAGCACGACTTCATTACGCCGCCTAAGAGGACAAGAACGGTATGAGAGCATGATTACATATTAATGTGCCTTGATCCTCATAAGGAAGCTGTAGACCTCCTGCTATTTCTAAGCTGGAGCCAGACAGAGCAGTCTGTCTTCCTTAAACACCAACCTGATCCAGTGCTTCCCCTTAAAACACACACACACACAGTCGTTAATGATTTTTCTAAAGATTTATCCCTCTGTGATTTATCACCCACATCCAAGGAAATAAAAAAATGTTCTCGCCCAGTTTCCTCTCATCCATCCATGCAGGAAGATTAACTATTAACTATGTACCCATTAAACTTACTGCCATGTCCACGGACAACAGCACATGCATCTGAGTAGCTCGGACATGTTTTGGATCCTTGGCGATTACAGTCTTCATCTGTAGAGCCCATGCAGGTGTAACACTTCAGTGCCTCACCTAAATACAGACAAAGAGGCAAAAGTAATTCAACATTAAAATTCCTCAAAAAAAGGCCTAAAGTGTAAGTACTGACCAATTAATATTTATTGCTTTTCTTAATTTTGTCTTGTTTTCCAGTAAAAATAAAACATAATAATGAAGTTACTTGAGAATAAAATCTATTAATTAGTATTATTAGTAGTAGTATCAATATGATGATGATGATGATGATGATACACTATTTTGTTTATTAATTTATTATTTCTTTCATTTTTTTTCAGTCAATGCATTAAAATGTGCGTTCTTGTATTAAACATGATTATTAACAATAAATAAAAAACAACAACAACAATTTGTCAGTAAGGGTAAAGTAATAATAAAAATAAAAAACAAAAAACAGATACATACTCTAAAAAATAAATGATAATATTTTATGCAATTTTTGTCACATAGATTTATGTTATTTTAATGTTTTTAAATTAACACGATGAAAAACAATAATTAAAAAATATACCTCCACACAATTTATTCTATTTTCATATTTTTTACTTTTTTTGCCTCTTTTTTGACCTTTTTGTCACAGATTTTAAAGAGGATGCATAAACGATTAAATGAAAGGAAGGAAATATTCTGTGTCCAGATGAGAACCATGGCTCAATGCAACGGCTCCAACAATCAAGGCAAATTTTACTTTGTCTCACCGGTGACACAATAATTGCAAACATCCAATGCATTTGACTAAACAAAGCTTGATGTATTTTATGCCATTTCATTTCTAGTGTGGAGACAGGAAAATGTTACTGTACTTCATAATGACACACATATAATGATGCACACTGTTTCTATTTCCATGATGAAGCAGCTTTAAACAGCAACAAACATGCTATCAACATAAACCCTTTTTTTTTTTCTTAGAAGACCCTAAACGATAATCTACAAATCTTGATCTTAACTTCACTGGTCTGTGAAGTCTAAACAGAACGCTGACGTTTTACCCATTTTTTCCACTTTTGTTTAACAGACCCCAGGGAAGTCAACAGAAGTCCCAGCAGAGAAACATGGCAGTGTCTTGTAAAAGCCCAGCAGTACATGCTGTGGTTAAGCCTTTTGCATGTGCCTCTTTGCTATCATCTCCCAAAAAGTGCTTTTTTTTTCAGTTCAATCCATCAAGATCAGACACATAAACTCTATGACTGTAACACCTTCAGAAACAGACATTCCTTTTTAAAGTATCTGCTATGTGTGTCTTAGAACTGTTAGTTCACCCTAAAGACATCCTTCTGCTGCTTCTGAGTCACTCTCTTTGATAGCTAAACCTTCAGTTCACAGGATAGACTCAAAATGATTTTACAGGCAGGCTATTCAAGCTGTTTGAAATGAGGTAAACTTTTAAAGTATAACACCAGCGTGAAGGTCACATTCTTTTTCAAAGCATTTATCTAAAACGGCATGCTTTAACCCCTAAAATGGACAATAAACTGTTACTTCCTGTCTATTGAGTTGGTCTCAGAGATCCAACACTAATAACGAGAAATGTTTTTAACAGCAAATCATTAGAATGATTTCTAGATTATCATGTGACACTGAAGACTGTAAATATTTAATATTTCAGAATGTTTGGAGTAACATTTATATAAGAACTGTATAGAACACCCTGTTGAATCGGATACTCATCCATGATGTCACATAAGTCACTAAAGGTATTATTCAACTACACACACACAAATCAAATGTATAAATATTTGAAACAAATCACTGGTTTGGAATTAATGCTATTGTCTCCTTTGTTCCCCACACCAAAAACCTTCAGACAGAGGTTAAAAATAAAGTTGTTATGCATCATCTGCACACAACATCCATAACAAGAAAGAACAAGCAGTCTCCAGTTTCTCTATGCCTGACCTCAGCTGCTATTTGTCAACTATATCCAGACAGTTCTGTACTATAGCACAATCATACTTGTTGTTTAATTGGAAATATTTTAGCCATTGTTTGTCAATATATATTTGAATAGTTTTGGACTGAATTAATAAATTAAATAATAAATTAATAAATTAATTTAGCTCCTTAGCTTTACTTAAATTACCCCCATTTGCATTTAGTACACTCAGAAAAAAAGGTACAAAAGCTGTCACTGGGGCGGTACCTTTTGTAAATTTTAGGTACTAATATCACTTTAAGGTACCAATATGGACTCTTTAAATACAAAGGTGTGCCTTTTGAAAAGGTACCGCCCCAGTGACAACTTTTGTACCTTTTTTTCTGAGAGTGTATTAGCTTCAATGTGTAATTAAATAAATAACTGCTTTTTCTAAACTTAATTAGCACTTGGTTCTCAAATTTCAGTAATGTTTTGCTGTTGAATTGTGTTTTACACCATTACTATTTAATGCACTGCTGTTTCTGTAATGTACTTCAGGTAGAGATTCTCTTTTTTTTGGGTCCAGCAATCTAATAAAAATAAAGACCTGTAAACTCTTTTAGCCCTCAATCTGTTTAAGGGATTGAATTGCACCAATTATTTTCTGATAGTCGTTTAACACCTTCCTCAAGGCCAACGAGATATTCTCAGTCATAAGGAGGACACCTCAAAAGGAGGAAACCAGAGAAACGAAATGAAATAAAAATGATGAAATTGACAAAGAAAAAAGCCAAAATACCAGACTGAGAAGTCTTGAGTGAAAAGCAAATCAAGACTTGTGAGTGTGGAAGACTTGTGAGTGTGGCACACATGCAGTAACTGAGAAGAGATAGGAGTTAAAAAGTAGAAAAAACAACAAGAGAGAAGTACTCACTGTGAGCAGCGAGGAGGATGAAGCACAGGCCCAGCAGCATGAAGAAATGGAGAGCTCTCATGTTGCCGGTGGTCTATGGCTGTCAAGTTAGCACAGTGAAAAGCAGGTTGTTTGCTCTTAAAACCCCTGAGCTTAAGCCCTGCTTTCGGAGAGCTAATACCCAATGGCAGTGAGGACACACAGATTACCAGCCAGTCCACTGAGGCCTGTGCTTCGGTCTTAAGATCTGAATGGATCCTCACCATCTCCACTAATCAGAGATGAGGGATCGGTTACTGTGCTCCACTCATACAGTGCTGCATGCTAGCCGGGGGTCTGATGCTCCCTACAGATTTCATTCAACTAATGCCTCCATACAGCGTATTAGTTTATCAGTGACCAAACTCACATAATTTCTCTTTGTGAACCAATCAAACAGTCGATGCAAAGGCTACTTGAAATATAGGGTAACCAAAACAAAACCTTTACCCTAAATTAATAAATAGATCAGCTTATAATTGTTACTTCCATTTGCCTCTTTTTTCCCACATTAACTACTTATTTTTTATTTGTTATTATATTCCTAAATGTAATCTCATTTGTTTGCATTCTCAGTGATAAATTAATAAAACGGAAGCTGTTTTATTACATATAATACAATTCTATTTTTATACACATAGTAAAACTGCTTTCATTTTATACTACTGTATATTATAGTATTTAGTCAAATGATCTCAAAACATACATAATATTGTTAGTATGTTTGCAGCACCACCTATAAAATTCTTTCTGTTCCAAAAACATTTCTGTTGTTTTAATTCTTCCTCCTTCCAATATTTTTTTTTCTTTCTTAAATTCTACTTTTACCGTTCATTTGTTTGTTTCCTTATTTGAATATGTGCATGTGGTAAGGGTAACCAAAAATCAAACCTTCAGTCCATATCAAATGAATGAATAGATAAACTTATAATTATATATTACTGTAATAATTACTCTTCCAACACTAACTACTTCCTATTTTATATATATATATATATACAGTATTTAATAAAATGATATAATAAAATATATAATTTTATTTGATTTATAATGAATTATATAGTATATTTATAATGTATATACTTATGTATACAATCATCTTTGCAACATCACCTATAAAAATAATCATCCCTTTCTTTCCATTTCTATTTATTTTTCTTTCATTCCAACATTTCAGATTCTTTCTTCGTCCTATTTTTCTTAAATTCTACTTTGACTCATTTTTTTTGAACCAGTTTGGTTCTGTGCCAGCATGTAATTGGCACTAATATGGTCTGTCTGGCGTGATTTTAAGACCCATCTGTCAGCTAACTAATGCATCTTTTTATGCACATACGTTGGATCATGTCAGCAAGATTCATTGTTTGTTCATTAACATTGCTTTCTTAAAATGCCCTAGTGGGAGGCTAAAAGCATCTGCTAAATTAATAAGTAAATGTGATTGTTATTACATCAAACATCAAGCCTTTACATTTTGCATATTGACTGTGTCTGTGTGATATGGGTCAGATAAACAGAAGTTGTATTGCCATCTTTTATTGCACTTTGTAAGCATGTCCTGTATAGCCGACAGAGCTTCATTTGTCTGAAACATCAGCTATACCAGGACTGAGACAAAACCATTCAGATTATATTAGCTCAGAACCACTGACAGTGACACGTGGGTTCATTCATATATCAAAATAAATCCAAAAATAAAATCACACATCAGTGTTGCTAGAAGACAACGAAACAAATGAACAACAAGTATCTACAAAGATACACAAGGAAGCAGATAAACTAACAGTATCAAAATCTGCAGTTATGTTCCTTTACTATTTTCAAGTCATTTTCATATTTACAAAACCGTCAAGGCCTACAACATGCATTTTTTATGATCATGAATACCACTTTGTGACCACTAAATGATTAATTCATCTGTTTTATATTATATATATTCTCTCTGGTCATTTCTGTTTTCAACTTAAGAAGAGGGAACCACAGGAATCAGTTTAACAGTCGGCTCCATCAGTGGTTGTCATGGCAACAGCACTCATAACCTCAGACTCACTATAAACACATACTCTCTGCGTGTGTGTGTGTGTGTGTACTATACAGACTCTCAAAAAAGTCTCTACTGATGGGGAGTACTTTCACAAGACCCTCAACATTGGTAAGGTGGTGTACATTAACATTAAAATGAAGAGAAAATAATTACAGCCAGAAACTAGTGTTCTCCCAGTCCTAGGGACTCCAGTTTTATGTGAAGACGTCAGTAGTGTGAGATCCTTTTGTTTGGTTAGTTCATTGTTCTGTCCATTAGAAAGAGGAAAAAACAATACCGAAACAATTTCACCTTGCTCCTCCATCTTTACACTCTTGTCCAGTTATTGTTCTTTTGTCCCTTTGTGGTACAGACAGAACTCTGTCGAATGGACGGCTAGCTCTTTCCCATCTTGGCAATCAGTTCATCACAAATTTTGGTCAGTTCTTCAATCTCTTTATTCTATAAACAGAATCCAAAAAATCATGTTAACCTCTGAATGTTGTTGTTGTTGTTGTTTTTTTAAATATGAAAGATGTTTCTTACAATATGTTGATCAAAAACAGTAAAATTGTGAAATATTTTAATTTTAAAAAATCAGCTTTCTATACTAATATATTTTCAAATGTAATTTATTCCTGAGATGGCAAAGCTAAATTTTGAGCAGCCATTACTCCAGTCTTCAGTGCCACATGATCCTTCAGAAATCATTTTATTATGAAATATTTTTTTTTACTATTATCGGTGTTGTGCTGTTTAATACTTTTGTGGAAACCATAATACTTTTTTCAGGATGTTTAAAGAACATGTTTATATATATAACTTTATAATGATTTTATATTTAAATTTTTTAATTTGAACTTATTCCTATGATGGCAATTCTAAATCTATATATATATATATATATATATATATCAGTACTGACTTTACTGTTACTTTAGATAAATTGAATGCATCAACACAGACTGTTTATATATATATATATATATATATTTTTTTTTTATTCAGTTATATAAAAGCATAGATTAGTCTAAGTTGAATACAAAAAATAAGACTGATTAATAAGACTAGCTAACGGCTAAGTTTATGCAACTGGCCCCTGGTCTGAGGGACAGTGAAGTAGCTAAAAACATCAGGGTTTGTTCCATTAGTTTACCACATCCGATGGAGTGTTTATTGCGAAAACAGCAATTTTGCAAGGTGTCAGGAGGCACAACAGACGTGTGAGTAATCTTAATATTACTTCAAGCTTTGCAAATGGTTGTAAGATGTCCAAACCACGGAGACATGGTGAGATGAGAGGACCTTTGAAAGACTTACTCAGCACCTCTTAATTCGTTTTTATAAAAAGTAAATAGTCACAAAAGTAAATATAAATAGTCACAAATTTTATTTCATTGTAGAAAATCTGCTGAATGGATAATTTTAATGAACTGGTTTTAAAAAAACTGTTTCTAATCAATTATATACGTTTTATTCTAGTTTTATTACTTTAGTTTAAATGTACGCTACCGGTTAAAACGGTTTTTTTTATCTAGTAAAAAAAAATCTAGTAAATTGACAAAAGATTTTTATTTCAAAAAAATTCTGTCCTTTTGAACTTTGTATTCATCAAACAATCTTGGAAAAAAAAATGTATCGTGGTTTCCACAAAAAAATATTAAGCTATTTTTATAAGCAACAGTGATAATAAAAATGAAATTTTACTGTTGTAGCTACTTTACACACACTCAAAGATGTCCAAACCACGGAGACATGGTGAGATGAGAGGACCTTTGAAAGACTTACTCAGCACCTCTTAATTCGTTTTTATAAAAAGTAAATAGTCACAAAAGTAAATATAAATAGTCACAAATTTTATTTCATTGTAGAAAATCTGCTGAATGGATAATTTTAATGAACTGGTTTTAAAAAAACTGTTTCTAATCAATTATATACGTTTTATTCTAGTTTTATTACTTTAGTTTAAATGTACGCTACCGGTTAAAACGGTTTTTTTTATCTAGTAAAAAAAAATCTAGTAAATTGACAAAAGATTTTTATTTCAAAAAAATTCTGTCCTTTTGAACTTTGTATTCATCAAACAATCTTGGAAAAAAAAATGTATCGTGGTTTCCACAAAAAAATATTAAGCTATTTTTATAAGCAACAGTGATAATAAAAATGAAATTTTACTGTTGTAGCTACTTTTTTCTAGCTTGAGTGGACTTGATAGTATTTTGGCGACTTTACATTATGATGAGCTTATTTGGAAAGTTACAGTATCAGAGCAGTTTCCTGAACACTTATGAGCTGGTAATGGAAGATGTTTGAGAAAAGGTCTATAAAAAAGACCAGCAGTGCAAAAAAGACAGCAAGATCCGCTCTGTGCCAGATGTCAGGACTGGTTGATAACGCAAATGCAAACTAATAGAACAGTGCATTCTGAGGTGACAATCACAATGAAATTCTGAATAAGCTTGATTACATGAAAGGTCAGGAAACTGGCATTTGTTATGTCATGTGTTTGACTACAAGAGTTCGGCTGGCAGAAAGACTTGCTTGGAGAAAAGCAGGTTGCCGGCACAGTAAGCGAATGGATTAGCTATGTCTTCCTTAGCCTCTTAGGCCTTCCTTATCCTGAGCCCAATCAGGCTAATGAACTAAGCCCCATTCTTATCCACACTAACAAGGCCTAGTCCAGCTGGCTGTAATCCGCAACCCTTCCCGATTACCTTGTTCACTTTGCCCCTTGAATACAAAAGGACAGCTTTAAAACATGTCCTGGTTCAGTCAACTGTCTTCTGAATTAGACAACACTGCATTTTTATTAAAAGTGCAGCAAGGTGACAAATACTTCAAAAATGCTAAACATCTAATAAAACTGTCACCTGATTTGAACCCTTAGTTAGGAGATTGTAAAGCAGAATCTAATATAAAACCCCTTAAAATGGCATTTAATTTTGTGTCAAGAAAATTGTGTTTCATGAGTTTTCTGGATGGGTGAAAACAAATCTTTCGTCTATTCCCTCCCTTTTCCTGCCTCCAGCTCTGGCACATCTGACATGTTAAGGCCCTCTTTAATTGGCTTTCTGCTTACGCTCGACTTTAAAAAAAACGTAGGAAAGAGATAAACAGATTGAGAGGTGGATTGAGGTTGATGCATGGAGCTGTAAGCAGAGCCTTTATGGTTGAATTCACAGGGATATACTGTAAGCTAAGAAACATATGTAGTAAATGAACATTTCTGACAGTTTTATTGATTTGAAGTGCGGGGTCGGAGAAGAGAAAGAATGCGGCGGATGAGTGCAGACAAGCAACATAAATTAAGTTTAACTAAAAATAATTTGTTTTTATTAAATCATAGTCTACATATAAAAGGAATTAATAAGCGAAATATATTTGACTCAAATAATTAACAGATTAACAAAACAAAAGAAAAAAGACAATAATGTAAAATATGCTGTAAAATAAGTTTGGTTCATTTTTGTGGCGCTGCGCTCTGCAAAAGTTCACGGAAAGGAAACCGAGATGACAAGCGCATCCTAAAATAAAAGTAAAGATAAACAGATTGAGAGGTGGATTGAGGTTGATGCATGGAGCTGTAAGCAGAGCCTTTATGGTTGAATTCACAGGGATATACTGTAAGCTAATAAACATATGTAGTGAATGAACATTTCTGACAGTTTTATTGATTTGAAGTTTACAGAGAGGACCAGTGTTGGGAGTAACGCATTACAAAAGTAACGATATTACAGTAGTATATTACTTTTTGCTGTAACGCAGTAATATAACGCATTACTAATAAAATTTGGGTAATATTATTACTCGTTACAATCTCAGTAATGCA